AACATATGGGATGAAAAAGGCAATATCACAACAGATGCTACAGAAATACAAAAGACAATTAGAAATTATTTGGAAAACCTATATTCCAATACAATAGAAGATAGTGAAGACATTGATAAATTTCTTAAGTCATATGATTTGCCCAGACTGAGTCAGGAGGATACACACAATTTGAACAGACCAATATCAATGGATGAAATAGAAGAAGCAATCAAAAGACTACCAACCAAGAAAAGACCAGGACCGGATGGGTATACAGCGGAATTTTATAAAACCTTTAAAGAAGAATACCAATACTTCTCAAGTTTTTTCAGGAAACAGAAAAAGAGGGAGCTCTTCCAAATTCATTCTATGAGGCCAACATCACCCTGATTCCGAAACCAAAGACACCTCAAAGAAAACTATAGACCAATATCTCTAATAAACCTAGATGCAAAAATCCTCAATAAAATTCTGGTGAATCCGATACAAAAACACATCAAAAAAATCGTGCACCATGATCAAGTAGGATTCATCCCTGGGATGCAAGGTCGGTTCAATATACGGAAATCAAAAAATGTTATTCACCACATCAATAGACTTAAAGACAAGAACCATATGATCATCTCGATAGACGCAGAAAAAGCATTCGACAAGGTACAGCATCCCTTTATGTTCAAAACATTAGAAAAACTAGGGACAACAGGAACTTACCTCAACATTGTAAAAGCTATATATGCTAAGCCTCAGGCTAGCATCATTCTGAATGGAGAAAAATTGAAGGCATTCCCTCTAAAATCTGGAACAAGACAGGGATGCCCTCTATCACCACTTCTATTCAATATAGTTCTCGAAACACTGGCCAGAGCAATTAGACAGACGAAATAAATTAAAGGCATAAAAATAGGAAAAGAAGAACTTAAATTATCACTATTTGCGGAAGACATGATTCTATACCTAGAAGACCCAAAAGGGTCTACAAAAAAACTACTAGAACTAATAAATGAATTCAGCAAAGTGCCAGGATATAAAATCAACACGCATAAATCAAAGGCATTTCTGTATATCAGCGACAAAACTTCTGAAACGGAAATGAGGAAAAACACTCCATTCACAATATCCTCAAAAAAAATAAAATACTTGGGAATCAACCTAACAAAAGAGGTGAAAGATTTATACAATGAAAACTACAGAACCCTAAAGAGAGAAGAAGAAGATCTTAGAAGATGGAAAAATATACCCTGTTCATGGATAGGCAGAACTAGCATCATCAAAATGGCGATATTACCAAAAGTTCTCTATAGGTTTAATGCAATGCCAATCAAAATCCCAACAGCATTTCTTGTAGAAATAGATAAAGCAATCATGAAATTCATATGGAAAAATAAAAGACCCAGAATAGCAAAAGCAATTCTAAGCAGGAAGTGTGAATCAGGCGGTATAGCGATACCAGATTTCAAACTATACGACAGAGCAATAGTAACAAAAACAGCATAGTACTGGTACCAAAACAGGCGGGTGGACCAATGGTACAGAATAGAGGACACAGAGACTAATCCACAAAGTTACAACTATCTTATATTTGATAAAGGGGCTAAAAGCATGCAATGGAGGAAGGATAGCATCTTCAACAAATGGTGCTGGGAAAACTGGAAATCCATATGCAACAAAATGAAACTGAATCCCCTCCTCTCGCCATGCACAAAAGTTAACTCAAACTGGATCAAGGAGCTTGATATCAAATCAGAGACTCTGCGTCTGATAGAAGAAAAAGTTGGCTCCGATCTACATATTGTGGGGTCGGGCTCCAAATTCCTTAATAGGACACCCATAGCACAAGAGTTAATAACAAGAATCAACAAATGGGACTTACTTAAATTAAAAAGTTTTTTCTCAGCAAGAGAAACAATAAGAGAGGTAAATAGGGAGACTACATCATGGGAACAAATTTTTACTCCTCACACTTCAGATAGAGCCCTAATATCCAGAGTATACAAAGAACTCAAAAAATTAGACAATAAGTTAACAAATAACCCAATCAACAAATGGGCCAAGGACCTGAACAGACACTTCTCAGAAGAGGACATACAATCAATCAACAAGTACATGAAAAAATGCTCACCATCTCTAGCAGTCAGGGAAATGCAAATCAAAACCACCCTAAGATACCACCTCACTCCAGTCAGATTGGCAGCCATTATGAAGTCAAACAACAACAAGTGCTGGCGAGGATGTGGGGAAAAGGGTACTCTTGTACATTGCTGGTGGGACTGCAAATTGGTGCGGCCAATTTGGAAAGCAGTATGGAGATTCCTGGGAAAGCTGGGAATGGAACCACCATTTGACCCAGCTATTGCCCTTCTCGGACTATTCCCTGAAGACCTTAAAAGAGCGTACTACAGAGATACTGCCACATCCATGTTCATAGCAGCACAATTCACAATTGCTAGACTGTGGAACCAACCCAGATGCCCTTCAATAGATGAATGGATAAAAAAAAATGTGGCATTTATACACCATGGAGTATTACACAGCACTAAAAAATGACAAAATCATGGGATTTGCAGGGAAATGGATGGCACTAGAGCAGATTATGCTAAGTGAAGCTAGCCAATCCCTAAAAAATCAATGCCAAATGTCTTCTTTGATATAATGAGAGCAACTAAGAACAGAGCAGGGAGGAAGAGCAGGAGGATAAGATTAACATTAAACAGAGACATGAGGTGGGAGGGAAAGGGAGAGAAAAGGGAAATTGCATGGAAATGGAAGGAGACCCTCATTGTTATACAAAATTACATATAAGAGGTTGTGAGGGGAATGGGAAAATAAACAAGGAGGGAAATAATTACAGTAGATGGGGTAGAGAGAGAAGATGGGAGGGGAGGGGAGGGGGGATAGTTGAGGATAGGAAAGGTAGCAGAATACAACAGTTACTAATATGGCATTATGTAAAAATGTGGATGTGTAACCGATGTGATTCTGCAATCTGTATTTGGGGAAAAAAATGGGAGTTCATAACCCACTTGAATCTAATGTGTGAAATATGATATGTCAAGAGCTCTGTAATGTTTTGAACAACCAATAATAAAAAAAAAAAAAATCACTGGAGTGAAGTGGGCCTAAAGTGTCTCCAAGTACTTTCTGAATGTAGATGTCACCCCAGGAAACAGCAGGATCTTGAGCTGTGACCTGCCATTAACCCCTCTGTTAGAATCTGGCTCTTATCTGGGAAACAGAGCACATTTAGGAGAGTGAGTTGTAATAGGCAGAGGGAAAAGAAGACCTTAGTTTTTAATCTTTTCCAATAAGACCATTTGAAAATCAAAAACCTCCCTGCCACTTTCATGTTAGTTGTATACTCTATTTATAATGCCCTAATTAGTAAACACATGATGAATAGGATGTATTGACTTAGGAATCAGTGGCACTTTCAACAGGATTTTATTTTAATAAACAGCAGGATCACTGAAAACCTGTAGTATTAGGTGCATTGTACATACAAGAGAATTAGTCTATAGGTGATTCAGCAAACCCCCTCCTTGAAATCCCGAGTTCAGGGCCCACAGGCTAAGAAAGTCCAGGCTAGGACACTGGGTTTTACTTCTTGGTGAACAAGCCTGGAGGGCTGTCTTAGGTAGGGAACCTGGGGGCAGAAAATGAGGAAGTGGAAGCCTATGAAGAACACCTCACATACTTCATAATTTTTCTTAACACTAACCCTGCAGCCCTTTTTCCAATGAGCAATATAGAAAGTAAAGATTATACTGACATTTGAGCAGGGAAACTAGGGAGCCCAGCCACTTACCATGAGAGCCAATGAGAAAAATAGGAAACAGTGTCACAGGAGAAAACTAGCTCACCCAAGTTTACTTGCCTAAATGAACACATATGAGTAACACTGTGTGGTAAAAACAGCCATGCTGTTCTTTAATGAAGCCTTAGTGTCTAGATTTGATCAGTGTTGCATGAAAAGGATAGCAGGTAACAAAGCAGCAGGTAAGGGCCATGCTAATGTGGCAAATACGTGGTCAGATTTAAGATCCTACCTATTACTTCTTACCAAAAGAAGACTCATTCAAATATCATCACTACTAAAAGTATCTCATAAATCCATGCTTTACATATACTGAAAGTCAAACTTAGATTCTTTAAAAATAAAGAGGAAAAAAATTCAAACCAATAGACTTAAATAAGCATAGCACCTGTCACCAAAAAAAAAAAATGGAAAGCACTAAAAATTGAGGAAATTAGTTAGCTCCCTAGCTTTCTAGCTTCTTTTCTCCAGTTACCCTCTAACACCAGTCTCAGCACACTCTGACCCGGTACTGCACTTCTGTAGTCACACTACTGGGTATACTCAGTGCAATAAATTGATGTTCCTGAACATTCTCTCTCCCCCCTCCCCTTATCCCTCTTACTCCCTCTTTCCCTCCTTCTCCTCCCCGCCTCCCTCTTGCACACACACAGAGTCCTACTCATACTTCCCACCCATCTCCTGAAGGCAGAATGAATCTCCCTCTGCCCCAGCAAGTTCTTCACCTCACTGCATTCAGACTTCCATGACAGCACTTGCCACGGGGGATCACTGGAGCCACCTAATCACTGTATCTCACTCATCTTTCTACTCACAAGACCCAGCACAGAACTTAGCACCAAATGCTTTACAAAATTCAGGAGAAAAACTTCAGATATTGATTGGAGATTACCTGCCCACAAAACCTTCATAATGTCTCAGCTTTTAATTACTGGTGGAGGGGGGTGGTGAGAAATCAACCCATTAGTCACCTCCCCTTCCCTGGTAACTGATATCACATGTTATGTAACAAGATGAAAAAGAAAAAGTCTGTTTTTCCATCAGAAGGCTTGAATTAGACACAACAGTTGTAAATCGCAGGGAATCCTGCATTGCTCAAAACAGCAAGAGACTTCCTGAAAAATAAACGCCTGGTGAGGAAAGCTGCAGCCAGCCTCCTGCTTTCCCTTTCCATTCCCCATAATCAAGGCAAACAAGGTGCACTCACCTGGCTTGTTTCCTTCCCTCTCATGGCCGAGCTGCCCCTTGGTGTTCAAGCCACATGTGTACACCTCTCCATCCTCCAGCAGGAACACTGAGTGGTTTCCTCCACAGGCCACTTCCTTGACACTTCTGTCTGATATGAATCCACACACCTGGGGCTCAGCCACAATTCCTTGCAGGTTGGTGCCGATACCTGGTTGGCCCAGAGACCAATATCCCCAGCATAACATTGTTCTTATCCTTAGGGAATCATGTAGCCTAGAAGATTTGTTTAAAAAAAAATTTAAGATTAAAAGAAAACAGGTCAGAGAAAATTAATTTAGGTAATAAACATAACCATTAAAAAAAAACCTCCTCCTGTGACAGACTTCAGATATCTTGCATCTCAAAATAAAACATATTAAGCAAGTTTTGCTTGTTTAAATGAATGCATGAACACAGAATGTAGTTTGCAGGTCACTGTTGAGGATGCTCAGTACCAGAGACTGGCTGAAACGCTCTTTGCAAACCATTAAGGTAGCAACAGTTTTTAAATTACTATAGTGACAACACTTTATACAATTTTCCAATGAACCTTTTATTTAAATTTTCTGCTTAATATTTTAAAAATATATTTAAACCAATTACCTTCTTTACATAATCCTGTTATTTCCTTGGTTAGTAGTATTGCACCACTTGAAAGGAAAATGAGAAATGGGAAACAATGTTATCTCCTTATCCCTCTTACCATCAGTCACATCTGAGTCAAGCTTCACTTCCTGCCCAAAAGACCGTGTCCATTCTGGTGACCATCAAACTTCATCCTTCTGACAGGGCTACTACACTGCCTTAACTAGCAGCTCTCTTTATACCTTTATAACTTAACTTGCCACCAGGTTTTAATCTCCTTCATTATAAACCACAGTATAACACAGATTTCTTCTCTTAAGCAGGTAGTCAATTTTGACTGATCTACTACTCAGACACTAGCTTAAAGTTTCATGACCTTTAAAATGTATGCTTCCTGTTCATACAGAAAAATAAAATAAAATCTCATATCAATCAGTTCACACCCAGGAATGATGAGTAGTGCTAATGAAGATGTAGAGAGATTGGAGCCCTCCTATACTGCTGATAGGAATATAGAGTGGCACCTGCTTTCAAAAACAGGACTCAAAAGGTTAAAACATGGAGTTACCATATGATCCAACAATTTCGCCTCTAAGTATATACCCAAAAGAACCCCAAAAATACATCCACAAAAAAAACTTGTATACAAATATTCATGGCACCATTATTCATAATATCAAAAGGTGAAAAAAAGTCAAATGTCCAACAAGTGATGAAAGAATTAACAAAATGTGGTATATACATTCAATCGAATATTTGGCCAGAACACAGATAAGCCAGAAAATATTATGCCAAATGAAAGAAACCACAAAAGACCACATATCATGTGATTACATTTACACGAAATATCCAAAAAAGACAAGTCTATATAAAGACAGAAAGCAGATTAGTGGCTGCCTAGGGCTGATGAGAGAAAGGGGAAAGAAAAAGTTCCTGTTTCTTTTGGTAGGTGATGGAATGTTCTAAATCCAGATTGTGAGGATGCCTTATACATCTTGGTGAATACATTTTTAAAAGACTGAATTTTACACTTTAAATTGGCAAATTTTATAATATACAAATTACCTCATTAAAGAGGTTTAAATTTTTTTTAAATCTCCTTTATCTTGCTATATATACCCTGCCCTTTGTGACTCCATACCAGCCAAAGCATTATTGAATTTAATTACTGGAATTATCATTACAAAAATAAGAGGAACAAAATGCTTGATAAAAGCATTCTCCTAGAACAGAGAGGACAAGGGATCCCAAGAGTTTACTATGAATAAGTGGAAGAATATCAATTTTCTATTGCCTCCTTCTGCTCACAAAGACTTAAGAAGAGGGAAAACTTTGTCTAATGCTTTTATTAGAATTTCTTTTTAAGTACTATAACTTCAAAGTTCTTTTTTCTATTGCTAAAGTTGGAAATCTCAAGTAGGTTATTCTATATTCTTTATATTTTTTCTTTGTATACAAAGAAAACACCAGAAAACACCTAACAGGCCCCTCTTGTTGTAAAGAAAGGGGAAAATCTTAAGTATGTCATAAAATAATAGAAGATCCTTTTTCAGATACCAAATTAAGAGGAAGTGATTGAAACCTGTAATATGGCTACAAATTTGGAACACGATCAGTAAGCTATAGATTCTCTAACACAGGGAAGAACAAATGAATTTTGAGAACAGTAATAGCTAACATAGTATGAAGTTGTTGTTTGCCCTATAATTACTTTCTAGAATCCCAAATTTTCTGTTGTGAAGAAACAATACCCTGAAATAACTGTATTTTACCAGCCTGGGTAAAATCAAAAGAATCTTGAGGAAAAGCCCCTAGAGTCCCTCATAAACACTGATGATTGCATGAAAAGCAAGAGCTTTGGGTGAGTCGTGATAGGATAATTCTTCCCCTCAGGAATTCTTAGCAATCTGGGGGTACACTAAACCTCTAATCAGCAAGGTCCTGGACTCGAATCACTTCATTTGGGTAAAATGAAACAGTGCAGAGAACTGGTCTTAAGGATTCCAATTATATTTGTTTCCAAATATAAATTTTAACTATGATATTAAATATCATTTTTTTAAACTAGACTTCTTCAAACTGCTATTTGCCCCACATTGGGAATCACAGTTTTAGGTTCTACAGGTCAAAGCACCATCATTTCAAGGCAAGTCTGCAACTTCCAGGGTGTCTTAGCTAATTCTTTGCCAATGAAAGAGGATGGATTCTAAAGGAAAGGTGAAGTCTTACTTTGAACTACAGGACCCAGGGGGTACATGTCAAACTGCATTAATCATCCAATCTACAGGAGAGAATTTTCTCTAATTTTTATGAATTTAAAGACACAAAGGGAGAACCCTAACTGATTTTTCTTATACAAAGTCAGCTTTTAAAATGGAAAACTCCTTCTCCCAACATACAACTATTCCCAAATGTATACAAATTAATTAAAATGCAAATTAAGTTAATTCTTTCCACCCTTCTTAACAACAAATATAGTACTTTGTCCTTAACTTGATGACATTAATTTGTATGTACAACCTAATTTCATAACTGTATTACAACAATCTAACTTACTCTTAAACTCTTGAGGTTTACAGAAAAGACAGGAAAAGGCACAAGTATAAAAGTATAAAAGCTGAATCTCAATTTGTGTCTTAACCAGAAAATTCTGTTTCTTCCCAACATTTTAAGTTCTTGTCTAGACTCTAGATTAAAAAAGTATTAAGCTTAAACATTTTTCTTTGGGTGAATTGAAAAAATTAAAGAGAAGGGAAGAAAGTTAAAATATAAAACTGTCAGGGTGGTAGTGTAAAGATAAGATCACATAATCTATTCACAATTTAATTTTCCCCACTTGCTCAACTGCTGTTATCCACACTAATTTCTTTCTTCGTTCTTAATGTTTCATGAGTTTGTCTTATCTCTCCTACCAATAATTATATAAGCAACATCACAGAATACTTTACATCAATCACTGTGCTAATCAGCAATTCATATCATTATCTCACTTCATCTTCACAAAAACCCTGCACCCATTAGTACTATTTTTAGCATCATTTTCAGAAAAAGCAAGGCTCAGAGAGATTAAGAAGCATGCGCTAGGTCACTTGGCTGGAAGGAGCCTGTAAATCTAAGCCTCATGCAAATAAATGTCCACATTTATGCACAGGGCTACACTGTCACCCAGTAGATTTATATATCACCTACAATACCCCAACACAAATATTTGTGGAATGACCAAGCTGTAGTCAGTATACAATCCAGAATGTCCTAAAACTTGAAAATAAATTTGCCCTCTATGAGTGAAATTCATCAGAATTTATAGATATGAGATTAGGCAGCTATAAGATTAAACCAAGTATAAACAATATGTCTAAAACTATGGTACCAAGAAGCCCTGACTGTATGTGTACACAAAGACCTGCAAATAATGTCCACAGTGGCATGTTTATACTGAACAAAAATGGCAGCAACCAATAAAAGTAGAGATATACAGACTGTAAAAGGCCCTGACTAAAATGCATTTTCTGAGCTTTTGATTAAAAAGTAATTGTATATATTTAGTGGGTATAATCAATGTGATATTTGAATATATATACACATATACATATGCATATGTGTATATATGCATATATATGTTGTGGAATGGTTAATCAAGCTACTTAACACATCCATCATCTCACATACTTACCATTTTTGTGGTAAGAACATTAGAATTTTAATTTCTCAGCAATTTTGAAATGAAGTTATCCTTTAGTATCTGTGAGGGATTGGTTCCAGCACTATACCTCCAGGATACCAAAATCCGCAGATCCTCAAGTCTCTTATAAAAAAATTATATAATATTTGTATATAACCAAAGCAATCCGCCAATATACTTTAAATCATCTCTATATTACTTATGCCTAATACAATGTAAATGCTACATAAATTACTTGTTTTATTTAGGGAATTATTACAAGAAGGAAAAAGTCTGTACATGTTCAGTTCAGACACAATTCTTTTCTAAGTCTTTTCTATTCACTATGGGTTTAATTTGTAAATGTAGAACACACAGATAAAAAGAGCTGACTGTACACAATACTTGTATTAATTAGTCACGGTGCTGTACAATACTCTCAAAAACATTCTTCCTGTCTAACTGAAACTTTGTACCCTATGACTAAACTGAAATGCATTTAAAAGAAAGCTGCATCTTAATATGGTTCCTCTTTCTAAACAATCAAAGTTAGTTTTTAAAAAATTCATCACATATATATTATCTACTAGTTTTTTTTTTGTTCATATCTCTCAAGTCTCTCTTTAGTGTCAAACACTCCACTGTTGAACAGGGAGGGGCATAACCCTGACCAAGCCAATCAGAAAAGCCACTCCTATGCCTTAGCACACAACCCATGTCCAACCAACCAGAGATTGCCATTTTTAGGACACAGCCATGGGCCATGTCAAACCAATAAAAGAATGCCACCGCTAAGTCATAGCAATTGGTGCAGGAATAGCTTCACACTCCCAGCTGGACTAGAATCCTCCCCATATTACATTCTATGAAGCTCTAGCAGGAGACTACCTTTTGCCTCTGAAGGATAACTGAGGCTACTAGTGGTAGCCTACTAACAGTACCTTCCTCATCACATGGAGACTATCATGCTACCATTCACAGACATTCAGATAAGAGAAAGAATTCCTTTATGATTCAAACTTCAATCCTCCTCCTGCCTGGTACCAGGCACCATCATCTTTATTTACTGTAAGTCTAACTGATTTTCATTATTGATGGATTCCATACTCGTGAATTTGCATATTCAATGAAATTTATTTGTAACCCCAAAACCAATATTTAGCTTTTTCAGTCATTCGCAGACATGCACAGAGAAGCTAAAAATTTGAATCACCCTACACACCCATTCCTGGCTAAAGGTGAACAAGGCAATCTTGCCCTCTTGTTCCAACTCTCACAGTATAAAACAAATATTTTTGTAGACTATTTAAATAGTGCTGCATTTTTTAAATTATTTCTGTTTTTGTTTTGATGATTTATAAATTAAAAAAATGGACCCCAAGTACAGTGCTCTCTAATGTTCCTAGGTGCAAGAAGGCTGATATGCCTTAAAGAGAAAATGTGTGTTAGATAAATTTCCTTCATGCATGAATTATAGCATTGGCTGTGAGCTCAATGCTAATGAATAAGTAATGGGTACATCCAAAAAAGGAAGGGGAAATCTTCCCACATGTACATGAGGACATTCAGGAAAGTGCCAAAGTAACATCTACAGGGCATGATGAAATTACAGAAAAGCTAAAGAAAAAATGGAAAAGCAGCTATATCTGTGAACTCATGAGATCAGAGCCAATAAAAAACAAAAAAAAAAGCACAGCAAACACCACTGATATGAACTAAAGGCTAAAAAAGATTTATTGTCACTTATACAGGGTCAGGAAGAAGTTAAACCTTTCTCAAATCGTTTTTTATAAAAGAAATATACAATTTTGTAAATAACATATACTGAATAAGGTGCCTAGACTAAGGCACATAGAAAGCAAGGTAATGTTTTAATTGTTGACAAAAATGTTGTGACCAGAGGTTTGCAGCAATTTACCCCTGTATCTGTCAAGAAGCAATGGCCATGTATCACTAGGTGGTGTTCATAATAACTTTATGAAACACAACAACTGCAAATAATAAGAATCAACTCTGTGTGTGTGTGTGTGTGTGTGTGTGTGTGTAGAGAGAGAGAGAGAGAAAGAGTCAAATAAACCACCTTTGTTGCTTAAGTTTGCAAAAAATTGACTTTCCTTCACTTGTAATCAAAACAAATCTGGTAGCTGCTGGTGTCCATAAATTTAAAGATTTAAGTTCGACAAGGATCTATATCACTGGGCATTCTTGATCTCCTGGTCTCTCTTACCTACTTTCCCATACTCACTATTCTCTCCCTTGCTCCTAGAGTCTTTTATTTTCTTTCAAAATACACAATTATGAAATCTGCCCCAGACTTCTTAGGACTATACTCTAGTAGGACTAAACTCCTCACAGCTGTTCCAAACCACCTCAGTCCCAGCCCCCATTTCCTGCCTCTTATTCTCCCATTACAAAACAAAATGAAAGATGACTTTTGAAGGATGACTTTCCCTTTACATCACACTTGGTATTTCTCTCATCCTTTTCCTCATCTATTTTTTGAGGGTGCTGGGGATTGAACCCAGGGCCATGTGCATTGGAGGCAAACACTCTACCAACTGAGTTCTATCCCCAGCCCATCCTCATCTATTCTTGACAAAAGATTCAAGATACTTTTAATGGCCAAAAGGACTAAAGCTCAAGCCCCAAATTAACATGCTAGCTTGAAAACCTGGGGCAAGCCTGTTCCCTTTCTCTAAAATGAAGAAAAGCATGACAGGGAATGGGGTGAGAAATAACGTGAAAATGCATACTTTTTAAAAGTGCTTTGTACGGTGCTTGATATGTAGTAGTAAGTGACCAATAAATGTCAGCTGTTGTAATCACTATTACTCTTGCTCTCCTAGTGCTCTGCTTTGAGATCTCAGCAGATAGGACAGTTCCCAAAAGAAGGTGAGGATATGACTCCTTTCTCCCTCACAGTAATTAGCATTAACTATGTTCCGCCAAATCTGCACCACAGCTTTTCCACCATCTGCCATAATTTTCATGAAGGGGATTTGAGGTTGCTAGGAGAAAGTTTTTTGCATGTATTTTCTTTTTAATTCTGAAGAGGGCAAAAACAGGGAGGTAGTTCTAGTTTTTTACCAGTCCTACTAAGTTGAATATTACAAGAGAACCTTCAACTCCTAAACATTTTCTTATAATCAGTATATGCACATGACAGTCTAGCATTTTCTTATTCCTTTGTTTGAAAGGCACTGAAACCTAAATAACATTCAGGCAGGACTTCTAATCTCTTTTAAAATAGAAATAAGCTTCCTTTCAAATAAGCTTAGAAGCAAATACCTCAATGGTGGTAGGTGTGGAGGGGATTTTTTTCAACTGCAGGAAAAGACAATGTCCAAGTCTTCAGTACTTTATAGGTACTCCCCAAATCTAAACTTTAAATAAATCTGAAGCCAAAATGCCCATGCAGAATTAACTCCAGTTACAAAAAAGATTCATTCTAACAACATGCTTTATTGTCACAAATTTCACTCCCAAGGGCTGATGTTGTGGCTCAGTGGTGGTGTGCTTGCCTAGCACGTGTGAAGTACTAAGTTCAGTCCTCAGCATCACATATAAATAAATATACAAAATAAAGGCATTGTGTCCATCTGTAACTAAAAATCTTTTTTAATTTTTTTGTTTACTCCCAGCAGCAGAAGTGATATAAAAGGCAAACAGAATTTTTCCACAATGTGAATCCACTCCCTGCTGTTTCCTCCCTCTCCTTCACCTTAGCTGGACTTTGATCCTCTGACCCTTTCAGCCAACACAAACAATCCTGCCTCTCCCATGATCATCCCTTTACAGGTTGTACCATCTTCACTACATAGCATTGGACTTTGTGAATCTAGAATGATCTCTTCGCATTCTGGGTAAGCCATGGGCTGCCTTCAAAGACACTGAAATAGCCTAGCAACAATGGTAAAGTCTGACAACAGCAACTCAAGGATATAAACAGCTAGAACTCTTATGCACAGCAGGTAAGAGTGCAAACTGTCATTACAACTTTGGAAAACAAGTAGACATTATCTAGTAAAGATGGAGATGTGAATACCACATAGCATAGTAATTTTACTGGTGGGCATACAACCAATCCATCCAAATTATTAAGAACTTATGGAGCTCCTGCACTTCCGAGAGGTGGAGATACAAAGATGAGTAAAACTGGTAAGTTATTTATTTATTTATTTATTTGTGTGTGTGTGTATATATGTACATATGTGTGTGTGTGTGTGTGTATAAAATTGAGCTACAACCCCAGCCCATGGGAGTAATTTTATTTTTATATATAAATACATACATACATATATATATATATATATATATATATATATATATACACATACATACATACATACATATATTATATATATATTGTCCTCTATGGTAGTCAGTAGCCAGATGTGGCTACTGAGCACTTGAAATGTGGCTAATACAACTGAAGAACTAAAATTTTAATAATACTTAATTTTAATTATTTTTAATTCTAAAGTTAAGTGGCCACATAGGAAAGTGGCTATCTTACCATATCATGCAGTGAAAAACTCATGAACATATGCACCAAGATATATGTATATGAGAATGTTGATTTCAACATATTTAAAATAGAAAAAATTTAAAAGACCCAAATGACCATCAATAAAAAAAACAACAACAGATAAACTGCAGTATATATAGAGAAAAAATACTGTACATGAGTAAAAATTAAATTCCCTCCATTTATAAGCATCAATATATTTAAATCTTAAAAACAGTCACAGAATTCAGAGTATTTTACAAAGCTTAAATATAAATATAACAAACATTATTTGGCAAAAAATACATTAATGATGCCAAAACTATGGAAAAAAATAAAGACAAAATACAAGGCAATGATCATGGAGGCAGCAGGGATGGAGGGAACAATCTGGAAGGAGCACAAAAAGAGGAGCTCCAAAAGCAAGGCTGATATTCTGTTTCTGTCTTTTTTTTTTCCTTAAGGCATATTTCATATACATTATTTTATGATTACAAATACTTCAAAATAAAAAAATGAAAAGTATTGCTGAAACAGTAACACTACTTCTTGCATTTTCTCCATCAATACCCTCTCCTTGCAGATGGGAAGCTTGTGGGTGTGGGGTTTATTCACCTCTATATCTCCTGTTCTCAGACTGCAGGAGGACACTAGAAGCTTGACAGGTACCTAGTGAACTGAATGCCAATCTGAGAAAATCAAATTCCCACAATCTCTCTATGCAGTAACAAAAAATAATAACGTATTTCCTCCATCTGAAATGCACTGACCCCCTCACCACATTTTAGCAGATCTAAAAATAGAATGCCTTTTACAACTGAAATTATCATTAAATGGTGTGGACTAATATCACCAGCATGGGCTGGTAGTGTAGCTCAGTAGCAAAGTGTTTGCCTAGCACTCAGGAAGGCCCGAGGTGTGATCCTTAGCTAAAAAAAGAAAGAAAAAAAAAAAAAAAATCACCAGCATGCTAAAATTGAGATGGAATTCTAGCTATCCATGAAAGCTCCAAAAGGAAGAACTGAGCCTCTTTTGTTCCTTTCTCTATCCCTAGAGGTTAGACCAGTGTCTAGCACACAGTAAGGGCTTAATAAATAATTTCTGAATAAAGAAAAATAACATATACTATGACAGCAATACTACTATGTGCCTGGATCTGTGCTAAAAACTTTATATAGATTATTTAATCTGCCCATTGTCAAATCAAAACATAGAAAACAGCCAGAATTCCTATACACTGCTGGTAAGAGTAAAAATTCACATAACCACTTTGGAACACCTAGGATTAGCAAGATTAAGTCACTTACTCAAAAACATGTAATAAATAGCCAAGGCTGGGGTTGTGGTTCAGTGGCAGAGTGCTTGCCTACCATATGTGATGCACTGGGTTCGATCCTCAGGACCACATAAAAATAAATAAGGGTATTATGTCCATCTAGAACTAAAACTATTTTAAAAATAAATAAATAAAATAAGTAGTCAAAATGGAAACTTACTAAATCAAAAGCAGAATTCAAATATCTTCTACTAGACTTCAAAATCCATACTCTTAAACGTGGCACTATACTGTAAAATAAAAGGAAGTCAAGCCATACCCTGTCTCTAATTTTGAAAATAAAACTTTAAAGAGGAAGTTGTACATAACAGAAAGCTCATACTAACTAAATCACTGTTGATGTTTTTATAGACAACTAGGACCTAGATGACCCAATCTCAACAGAGTTAATCACACCTTCCTCTAGGTTAACTGTGACACAATAAAACTAGTTCACTAACACAGAAACATGTGTCCCTGCCACCAACAGGTATTAATTCTAAATGTAGTAAAAGTTAAAGGGAGCAAAGTAACATCATCAAAAAGATCAGCTTATTAAAGAGGCCTTAACAGTCCATTTGGTCCAATCTCTAGGCAAGAGATTCCTAACCTCATTTTAATGGCAGCTGATGCCTTCATGGGCCAAGTAACTGGTTTTCTAGAGGTAAGTGGTTGAAGAAGAGACCAGAAACCAGGTCTCCCAGCTCCTGGGTTTACCTTGTTGTTTGCACTGTCTCACAGAAGAAGAAAGGCATTAAGATTTTTTAAGGTTATTCTCTAGGCAGCTATATCTGCCTGAGTCCTTTACGTACATTATCTTATTTAATCCTTTTTATCAGTTCTGAGTTTGATACTATCTCCATTTGTAAGATAAGAAAAACTGAGGTTCAAAGAAATTAAGTTAACTCACCACAGATCACACGCTTGGCATTAGAACTAGAAGCCGATCTGTTCAACCTCACCTTGGGGAGCTGCAAGTTGAAGAAATAATAATTAACATTTGTACAGAACTCAACAAAGGCAGGAGTAAACTTCTGGAAATAAGATATCTTCAATGATTTGAGTTTGAATATTCCCCAAATACTGTGTCTCAAGACAGTAATTTGGTTCAGATAACCTCAAACCAACCTTGAAGATATTAGTTAACATCACATAAATGTGAACTTGAGCCACAGAAACCACCTTATAAAATTCCTGCCATTTGATAGGGAGTAGTAAAAATAGCATTATTAATTAGCCTAACCCATTTAGGTTAGGTTATGAAGGTTAATTTCTGGAAAATAATTCAATTTTGTCTGTTTTCTTTTTCTGTATAACACATACATTGTAATTATTTTGCCCCTATGGGGGAAAATGAATACTTTTCCCCTTTCATTCCTCCTCATTACCACACCCTCTATCATGCAAAAAAAGAAGAGACTAAGAGGCACCTCAAGTCTCTCAAAAGAAAAAGTCCTGCATGGTTTTCCCATACAGGCATCATAACTTTATTTCTACCTTCTTACATAGAAAATACCATTCAGTTTGCAGATTACTTTTAATTCAAAAACTGAGGGCAAAAACTATCTTGTATCACCACTAGGGGTGCTACTTTCATTATATTTAGAAATGTTTTTAATTGGCTATCCAAATCTTAAGCAACTTAAATGTGTTCTTCAGAATGAAATGCTATAACCAAAAGCTTTAACCACAGCATGTGGAACATTTTAGAATCCCTGCTTCTTTTTCAAGAAGAAAACCCAACTACCCAC